TGCGCTATGCGTGCCTCTGCTCTCTCATGTGTCAGCACGAACCAAAACAAACTATCGCACACATACAGCGCTCCACGCGTCTCTCCGCTACCACCCGTGCAGTCTACTACTGCTACAGTCCACCTGTATCTGTGATTATGACCACGGTCACAGTGCAGTCTACTACTGCTACAGTCCACCTGTATCTGTGATTATGACCACGGTCACAGTGCAGTCTACTACTGCTACAGTCCACCTGTATCTGTGATTATGACCACGGTCACAGTGCAGTCTACTACTGCTACAGTCCACCTGTATCTGTGATTATGACCACGGTCACAGTGCAGTCTACTGCTGCTACAGTCCACCTGTATCTGTGGTTATGACCACGGTCACAGTGCAGTCTACTACTGCTACAGTCCACCTGTATCTGTGACTATGACCACGGTCACAGTGCAGTCTACTACTGCTACAGTCCACCTGTATCTGTGGTTATGACCACGGTCACAGTGCAGTCTACTGCTGCTACAGTCCACCTGTATCTGTGACTATGACCACGGTCACAGTGCAGTCTACTACTGCTACAGTCCACCTGTATCTGTGGTTATGACCACGGTCACAGTGCAGTCTACTACTGCTACAGTCCACCTGTATCTGTGACTATGACCACGGTCACAGTGCAGTCTACTACTGCTACAGTCCACCTGTATCTGTGACTATGACCACGGCCACAGTGCAGTCTACTACTGCTACAGTCCACCTGTATCTGTGGTTATGACCACGGTCACAGTGCAGTCTACTACTGCTACAGTCCACCTGTATCTGTGACTATGACCACGGTCACAGTGCAGTCTACTACTGCTACAGTCCACCTGTATCTGTGACTATGACCACGGTCACAGTGCAGTCTACTACTGCTACAGTCCACCTGTATCTGTGACTATGACCACGGTCACAGTGCAGTCTACTACTGCTACAGTCCACCTGTATCTGTGGTTATGACCACGGCCACAGTGCAGTCTACTACTGCTACAGTCCACCTGTATCTGTGACTATGACCACGGTCACAGTGCAGTCTACTGCTGCTACAGTCCACCTGTATCTGTGGTTATGACCACGGTCACAGTGCAGTCTACTACTGCTACAGTCCACCTGTATCTGTGGTTATGACCACGGTCACAGTGCAGTCTACTACTGCTACAGTCCACCTGTATCTGTGGTTATGACCACGGCCACAGTGCAGTCTACTACTGCTACAGTCCACCTGTATCTGTGACTATGACCACGGTCACAGTGCAGTCTACTGCTGCTACAGTCCACCTGTATCTGTGGTTATGACCACGGTCACAGTGCAGTCTACTACTGCTACAGTCCACCTGTATCTGTGGTTATGACCACGGTCACAGTGCAGTCTACTACTGCTACAGTCCACCTGTATCTGTGGTTATGACCACGGTCACAGTGCAGTCTACTACTGCTACAGTCCACCTGTATCTGTGACTATGACCACGGTCACAGTGCAGTCTACTACTGCTACAGTCCACCTGTATCTGTGGTTATGACCACGGTCACAGTGCAGTCTACTACTGCTACAGTCCACCTGTATCTGTGATTATGACCACGGTCACAGTGCAGTCTACTACTGCTACAGTCCACCTGTATCTGTGGTTATGACCACGGTCACAGTGCAGTCTACTACTGCTACAGTCCACCTGTATCTGTGGTTATGACCACGGTCACAGTGCAGTCTACTACTGCTACAGTCCACCTGTATCTGTGGTTATGACCACGGTCACAGTGCAGTCTACTACTGCTACAGTCCACCTGTATCTGTGGTTATGACCACGGTCACAGTGAGTGCTCTGGCCCCACTACACCAGCACAAAGTGCCGCGGATGAGCCACACACACTAAACAATGCTGGTACATCGCTACGTTACTGTGCTGGGTGTTTTATGAGCTTTGTACCAACGGGCTGTGTGCTCCTGACGATGGCTTGGTTTGTTTGTTAATTACATGTTACAGTCACAGGTGCGTTATGCAGAACTTAAAGATGCGTCACTGCGCCCGCCCATGAATGATAAATGTGAAGTAATCCATGAAAATAAATACTACTTTCCCCATATCCGTGACTATGCCCAAAGAACCAAACACTCTCTCTCTCTGGTCTCTCTCTCTGGTCTCTCTCTCTCTCTGGTCTCTCTCTCTGATCTCTCTCTGGTCTCCCTCTCTGGACTCTCTCTTTCTGGTCTCTCTGGTCTCTCTCTGGTCTCCCTCTTTGGTCTCTCTCTCTGTCTCTCTCTCTGGTCTCTCTCTCTGGTCTCTCTCTGGTTTCTCTCATTGGTCTCCCTCTTTGGCCTCTCCCTCTTTGGCCTCTCTCTCTGGTCTCCCTCTCTGGTCTCTCTCTCTGGTGTCGGTGTCTCTCTGGTGTCTCTCCCTCTCTGGTGTCTCTCTCTCTCTGGTGTCTCTCTCTCTCTGGTGTCTCTCTCTCTCTGGTGTCTCTCTCTCTCTGGTGTCTCTCTCTCTCTCTGGTGTCTCTCTCTCTCTCTGGTCTCTCTCTCTGGTCTCCCTCTCTGGTCTCTCTCTCTCTCTGGTCTCTCTCTGGTCTCTCTCTCTGGTCTCTCTCTCTGGTCTCTCTCTCTGGTCTCTCTCTCTGGTCTCTCTCTCGTCTCTCTCTCTGGTCTCTCTCTCTGGTCTCTCTCTCTCGTCTCTCTCTGGTCTCTCTCTCTGCAGAGAGAGAGACCAGAGAGAGACCAGAGAGAGACCAGAGAGGGAGACCAGAGAGAGACCATGGTCTCTCTCTGGTCTCCCTCTCTGGTCTCCCTCTCTGGTCTCTCTCTCTGGTCTCTCTCTGGTTTCTCTCATTGGTCTCCCTCTTTGGTCTCTGTCTCTGGTCTCCCTCTTTGGCCTCTCCCTCTCTGGTCTCTCTCTCTGGTCTCCCTCTCTGGTCTCTCTCTCTCTCTGGTCTCTCTCCCTCTGGTCTCTCTCTCTGGTCTCCCTCTTTGGTCTCTCTCTCTGATCTCTCTCTGGTCTCTCTCTGGTCTCTCTCTGGTCTGGTCTCTCTGGTCTCTCTCTGGTCTCTCTCTGGTCTCTCTCTCTGGTCTCTCTCTTTTCTCTCTCTCTGGTCTCTCTCTTTTCTCTCTCTCTGGTCTCTCTCTGGTCTCTCTCTGGTCTCTCTCTTTTCTCTCTCTCTGGTCTCTCTCTTTTCTCTCTCTCTGGTCTCTCTCTGGTCTCTCTCTCTGGTCTCCCTCTCTGGTCTCTCTCTGGTCTCCCTCTCTGGTCTTTCTCTGGTCTCCCTCTCTGGTCTCTCTCTCTAGTCTCTCTCTCTGGTCTCTCTCTGGTCTCCCTCTCTGGTCTCCCTCTCTGATCTCTCTCTGGTCTCCCTCTCTGGTCTCCCTTTCTGGTCTCTCTCTCTGGTTTCTCTCTCTCTCTCTGGTCTCTCTCTCTGGTCTCTCTCTCTGGTCTCTCTCTCTGGTCTCCCTCTCTGGTCTCTCTCTCTGGTCTCTCTCTCTCTGGTCTCTCTTTCTGGTCTCCCTCTCTGGTCTCCCTCTCTGGTCTCTCTCTCTGGTCTCCCCCTCTGGTCTCCCTCTCTGGTCTCTCTCTCTGATCTCTCTCTCTGATCTCCCTCTCTGATCTCCCTCTCTGATCTCTCTCCGGTCTCTCTCTCTCTCTGGACTCTCTCTCTCTGGTCTCTCTCTCTCTGGTCTCCCTCTCTGTTCTCTCTCTCTCTGGTCTCCCTCTCTGGTCTCTCTCCCTCTGGTCTCTCTCTGGTTTCCCTTTCTCGCTGGTCTCTCTCTCTGGTCTCCCTCTCTGGTCTCTCTCTCTGGTCTCCCTCTCTGGTCTCTCTCTCTCTGGTCTCCCTCTTTGGTCTCTCTCTCTGGTCTCTCTCTCTGGTCTCCCTCTCTGGTCTCCCTCTCTGGTCTCTCTCCCTCTGGTCTCTCTCTCTCTCTCTGGTCTCTCTGATCTCTCTCTCTGGTCTCCCTCTCTGGTCTCTCTCCCTCTGGTCTCTCTCTCTCTCTCTGGTCTCTCTGATCTCCCTCTCTGATCTCCCTCTCTGATCTCTCTCCGGTCTCTCTCTCTCTGGACTCTCTCTCTCTGGTCTCTCTCTCTCTGGTCTCCCTCTCTGTTCTCTCTCTCTCTGGTCTCCCTCTCTGGTCTCTCTCCCTCTGGTCTCTCTCTGGTTTCCCTTTCTCGCTGGTCTCTCTCTCTGGTCTCCCTCTCTGGTCTCTCTCTCTGGTCTCTCTCTCTCTGGTCTCCCTCTTTGGTCTCTCTCTCTGGTCTCTCTCTCTGGTCTCCCTCTCTGGTCTCTCTCTCTCTCTCTGGTCTCTCTCCCTCTGGTCTCTCCCTCTCTCTGGTCTCCCTCTCTGGTCTCCCTCTCTGGTCTCTCTCTGGTCTCTCTCTCTCTCTGGTCTCTCGCTCTGGTCTCTCTCTCTCTGGTCTTTCTCCCTCTGGTCTCTCTCTCTCTGGTCTCTCTCTCTCTCTGATCTCCCTCTGGTCTCTCTCTCTCTCTCTGGTCTCCCTCGGGTCTCTCTCTGGTCTCTCTCTGGTCTCTTTCTCTGGTCTCTTTCTCTGGTCTCTTTCTCTGGTCTCTCTCTCTCCCTCTGGTCTCTCTCTCTCTGGTCTCTCTCTCTCCCTCTGGTCTCTTTCTCTCTAGTCTCTCCCTTTGGTCTCTTTCTCTCTGGTCTCTCTCTGGTCTCTCTCTCTCTGGTCTCTCTCTCTTCCTCTGGTCTCTCTCTCTCTCTGGTCTCTCTCATCTTCAGAACATGTTTAATAATGAGATGGATACAGCATGTTGAGGTCTGATTCATTCATAACGTTTTCTCTCCACTTTCCACAGACACAAACAAAAAACCGGGACCCCAGCTTTAACCGTGCCGCAGCAGAGGAGGTAGGGGAGAGAGAGAGAGAGAGAGAGAGAGAGAGAGAGAGAGAGAGAGGAGACCAGAGAGAGAGAGAGAGAGGAGGGGGGACATCCCGGGGGGAGGGCCGTGCATTCCAGCGTCAGCCCGGGCTTCCTGCATCTCACCTCGGCCTCTCTCCCCCTGTCCGCCCGGCCCCATGCCCGCTCTGGCCGAACCATGAAGCCGCGGCGACCTCCAGGGCCCGTGCGCGCCTCATGTAGCCGTCTGCAGGCAGCTGTGGAGCGGGTTGGACCGTGAGCCTCTGCGCGGTGCTGGAAGATCAAAGAACGGGTTAGAAGCAGCGGCGTTTGTGAAGTTTTTCCACCGCTGAAAGTTGCACCAAAGTGTGGATAATGTGGACGTCCAGCCGCTAAGACGGAGGGGATACGCTTTTATGAAGAGAGGAGGGGTAATTACGCACTTTAATGTCTTTGGCCCGCTTTGGTCCGCTTTGGACTGGTCTCTGCCTTCACTCTTCTCCACAGCTGTAGCGGTTACATTAAAGATGGCAACTTTTTCCTGTGTTCCTCCTGAGCTTTTGTCCCCGTTAAAGCTCGGGGACATAACTTCTCTCTCCGTGACTCAGGCGTTTGAAGAGCCTGGTGAATGAACAGGACAGACCGTAAACATCAGAAAGACTCGGACTGAAGAGCCCTGTGGGTCGCTATTTGACGATCTGAGCTGAGAGCTGATTGGTTGAAAGTGTGGTCCTCTTTTTTTGTGTGTGTCGTAAATCTGAAGATGTGACGGAGGCAAAAATACATGAATCCATTAGCCCAGATTCTACTCTACTGTAATCTAATCTACTCTACTGTACTGTAATCTACTGTAATCTACTCTACTGTAATCTAATCTACTCTACTGTACTGTAATCTACTGTAATCTACTCTACTGTAATCTACTCTACTGTACTGTAATCTACTCTACTCTACTGTAATCTACTCTACTGTACTGTAATCTACTCTACTCTACTGTAATCTACTCTACTGTAATCTACTCTACTCTACTGTAATCTACTCTACTCTACTGTAATCTACTCTACTGTAATCTACTCTACTGTAATCTACTCTACTCTACTGTAATCTACTCTACTGTAATCTACTCTACTCTACTGTAATCTACTCTACTGTAATCTACTCTACTGTAATCTACTCTACTCTACTGTAATCTACTCTACTGTAATCTACTCTACTGTACTGTAATCTACTCTACTGTACTGTAATCTACTCTACTGTAATCTACTCTACTCTACTGTAATCTACTCTACTGTACTGTAATCTACTCTACTGTAATCTACTCTACTGTAATCTACTCTACTCTACTGTAATCTACTCTACTCTACTGTAATCTACTCTACTGTAATCTACTCTACTCTACTGTAATCTACTCTACTGTAATCTACTCTACTGTAATCTACTCTACTCTACTGTAATCTACTCTACTGCAATCTACTCTACTCTACTCTACTGTAATCTACTCTACTGTACTGTAATCTACTCTACTGTAATCTACTCTACTGTACTGTAATCTACTCTACTGTAATCTACTCTACTCTACTCTACTCTACTGTACTGTAATCTACTCTACTGTAATCTACTCTACTGTAATCTACTCTACTCTACTGTAATCTACTCTACTGTACTGTAATCTACTCTACTGTACTGTAATCTACTCTACTCTACTGTAATCTACTCTACTGTAATCTACTCTACTCTACTGTAATCTACTCTACTCTACTGTAATCTACTCTACTCTACTGTAATCTACTCTACTGTACTGTAATCTACTCTATTGTAATACTCTACTCTACTGTAATCTACTCTACTGTAATCTACTGTACTGTAATCTACTCTACTGTAACTCTCTACTCTACTGTAATCTACTCTCTCTACTAATCTACTCTACTCTACTGTAATACTCTACTGTCATTTACTCTACTCTACTGTAATATACTCTACTGTAATCTACTCTACTGTAATCTCTACTCTACTCTACTCTACTGTAAATCTACTCTACTAATCTACTCTACTCTACTGTAATCTACTCTACTGTCATTTACTCTACTGTAATCTACTCTACTGTAATATACTCTACTGTAATCTACTCTACTGTAATCTACTGTAATGTATCTACTCTACTCTACTGTAATCTACTCTACTGTAACTCTCCCCTGATTGGATGTTTTCTTGGAAGAAGGACCTGGTACACAACCATGTCCTTCTTTAGTCCCTCTTGGTCCTGGTTCTATCCAGGCCGAGCTGGATATTGGACAGAGTGCTGTTGGAAGCCATGGTTACCAAGGAAATTCCCCAGCTACTGGTTTGTTGTGGGCAGGTTTCTAAAATACAGTACCAGATACTAAAGTGTAATGGTAACACGGTAGAGTAGAGTAGGGTATGGTATGGTAGGGCTGGTGGAAACAGGGCTAACGTTCCCGTTTAGCGTTTGTGGTGTTAAAGTCAGGTACCTCAGCTTTAATGAGGATTCAGCAGCAGGAAGAGAGTCTGGGTCACGGCGCTTGTGTCGTTCCTGTAAACAGACGAGCAGAGTTTGGAAAGATCCAACCCCAGGAATGACCGGAATAAACACCGCCATCTGCAGCCACCTCAGAACCATCCGAGTTCTGACCCGCCAACGAGACATTCTGCTTTAGACCCACGTGACGGTTCTGCTTTAGGACCCACGTGACGGTTCTGCTTTAGACCCACGTGACGGTTCTGCTTTAGACCCACGTGACGGTTCTGCTTTAGACCCACGTGACGGTTCTGCTTTAGACCCACGTGACAGTTCTGCTTTAGACCCACGTGACGGTTCTGCTTTAGACCCATGTGACGGTTCTGCTTTAGACCCACGTGACGGTTCTGCTTTAGACCCATGTGACGGTTCTGCTTTAGACCCACGTGACGGTTCTGCTTTAGACCCATGTGACGGTTCTGCTTTAGACCCACGTGACGGTTCTGCTTTAGACCCATGTGACGGTTCTGCTTTAGACCCACGTGACAGTTCTGCTTTAGACCCACGTGACGGTTCTGCTTTAGACCCACGTGACGGTTCTGCTTTAGACCCACGTGACGGTTCTGGTTCTGCTTTAGACCCACGTGACGGTTCTGCTTTAGACCCACGTGACAGTTCTGCTTTAGACCCACGTGACGGTTCTGCTTTAGACCCACGTGACGGTTCTGCTTTAGACCCACGTGACGGTTCTGGTTCTGCTTTAGACCCACGTGACGGTTCTGCTTTAGACCCACGTGACGGTTCTGCTTTAGACCCACGTGACGGTTCTGCTTTAGGCCCACGTGACGGTTCTGCTTTAGACCCACGTGACGGTTCTGCTTTAGACCCACGTGACGGTTCTGCTTTAGACCCACGTGACGGTTCTGCTTTAGACCCACGTGACGGTTCTGCTTTAGACCCACGTGACGGTTCTGCTTTAGACCCACGTGACGGTTCTGCTTTAGACCCATGTGATTTAGCAGAGATTTAAATATGTGTTTGTTTAGTTTTTGTGAGACCAGAGAGAGACCAGAGAGAGAGACCAGAGAGAGAGACTAGAGAGAGAGAGACCAGAGAGAGAGAGAGACCAGAGAGAGACCAGAGAGAGACCAGAGAGAGACCAGAGAGAGACCAGAGAGAGAGAGAGAGAGAGAGAGACCAGAGAGAGACCTGAGAGAGAGACCAGAGAGAGAGACCAGAGAGAGACCAGAGAGAGACCAGAGAGAGAGACCAGAGAGAGACCAGAGAGAGAGACCAGAGAGAGAGACCAGAGAGAGACCAGAGAGAGACCAGAGAGAGACCAGAGAGAGACCAGAGAGAGACCAGAGAGAGACCAGAGAGAGAGACCAGAGAGAGACCAGAGAGAGAGACCAGAGAGAGACCAGAGAGAGACCAGAGAGAGAGACCAGAGAGAGACCAGAGAGAGAGACCAGAGAGAGACCAGAGAGAGAGACCAGAGAGAGACCAGAGAGAGACCAGAGAGAGACCAGAGAGAGAGAGACCAGAGAGAGACCAGAGAGAGAGACCAGAGAGAGAGACCAGAGAGAGACCAGAGAGAGAGAGAGACCAGAGAGAGACCAGAGAGAGAGACCAGAGAGAGACCAGAGAGAGAGACCAGAGAGAGACCAGAGAGAGACCAGAGAGAGACCAGAGAGAGAGACCAGAGAGAGACCAAAGAGAGAGACCAGAGAGAGACCAGAGAGAGACCAGAGAGAGACCAGAGAGAGAGACCAGAGAGAGACCAGAGAGAGACCAGAGAGAGAGACCAGAGAGAGACCAGAGAGAGAGACCATAGAGAGACCAGAGAGAGACCAGAGAGAGAGACCAGAGAGAGACCAGAGAGAGAGACCATAGAGAGACCAGAGAGAGACCAGAGAGAGACCAGTGAGAGACCAGAGAGAGAGACCAGAGAGAGACCAGAGAGAGAGATCAGAGAGAGACCAGAGAGAGACCATAGAGAGACCAGAGAGAATAGAATAGAATAGAATAGAATAGATCTTTATTGTCTGTTCAAATTGAGCAGAGATTTGTCTTTCAACACGGCACGATTCATGATCATTCATAAAACACACATAAAATACATTTAAAACACATAAGAAAAATACATTTCATAATTTATACAGTGCTACCGGTTGTTTAGAGCAGTGACTGCAGATGGGACAAATGGTCTCTTGTAGAGAGACCAGAGAGAGAGACCAGAGAGAGACCAGAGAGAGACCAGAGAGAGACCAGAGAGAGAGACCAGAGAGAGAGACCAGAGAGAGACCAGAGAGAGAGACCAGAGAGAGAGACCAGAGAGAGACCAGAGAGAGACCAGAGAGAGACCAGAGAGAGAGACCAGAGAGAGAGACCAGAGAGAGAGACCAGAGAGAGACCAGAGAGAGACCAGAGAGAGACCAGAGAGAGACCAGAGAGAGACCAGAGAGAGACCAGAGAGAGACCAGAGAGAGAGACCAGAGAGAGAGACCAGAGAGAGACCAGAGAGAGAGACCAGAGAGAGACCAGAGAGAGACCAGAGAGAGAGACCAGAGAGAGACCAGAGAGAGACCAGAGAGAGACCAGAGAGAGAGACCAGAGAGAGAGACCAGAGAGAGACCAGAGAGAGACCAGAGAGAGAGACCAGAGAGAGACCAGAGAGAGACCAGAGAGAGACCAGAGAGAGAGACCAGAGAGAGAGACCAGAGAGAGACCAGAGAGAGACCAGAGAGAGAGACCAGAGAGAGACCAGAGAGAGACCAGAGAGAGACCAGAGAGAGACCAGAGAGAGAGACCAGAGAGAGAGACCAGAGGGAGCTTCAATCCAACACACCATATTTAAATGATGGACATATAAGCCAAGTCTGGAGTCTCTCTCCTGAAGTCTCTCTCCTGGAGTCTCTCTCCTGAAGTCTCTCTCCTGAAGTCTCTCTCCTGAAGTCTCTCTCCTGGAGTCTCTCTCCTGAAGTCTCTCTCCTGAAGTCTCTCTTGAAGTCTCTCTCCTGAAGTCTCTCTCCTGGAGTCTCTCTCCTGGGGTCTCTCTCCTGGGGTCTCTCTTCTGAAGTCTCTCTCCTGAAGTCTCTCTCCTGGAGTCTCTCTCCTGGGGTCTCTCTCCTGGGGTCTCTCTTCTGAAGTCTCTCTCCTGGAGTCTCTCTCCTGAAGTCTCTCTTGAAGTCTCTCTCCTGAAGTCTCTCTCCTGGAGTCTCTCTTCTGAAGTCTCTCTCCTGAATTCTCTCTCCTGAAGTCTCTCTCCTGAAGTCTCTCTCCTGAATTCTCTCTCCTGGGGTCTCTCTCCTGAAGTCTCTCTCCTGAAGTCTCTTTCCTGAAGTCTCTCTCCTGAAGTCTCTCTCCTGAAGTCTCTTTCCTGAAGTCTCTCTCCTGGAGTCTCTCTCCTGAAGTCTCTCTCCTGAAGTCTCTCTCCTGAAGTCTCTCTCCTGAAGTCTCTTTCCTGAAGTCTCTCTCCTGAAGTCTCTCTCCTGAAGTGTCTCTCCTGAAGTCTCTCTCCTGAAGTCTCTCTCCTGAAGTCTCTCTCCTGAAGTCTCTCTCCTGGAGTCTCTCTCCTGAAGTCTCTCTCCTGAAGTCTCTCTCCTGAAGTCTCTCTCCTGGAGTCTCTCTCCTGAAGTCTCTCTCCTGAAGTCTCTCTCCTGAAGTCTCTCTCCTGGAGTCTCTCTCCTGAAGTCTCTCTCCTGAAGTCTCTCTCCTGAAGTCTCTCTCCTGAATTCTCTTTCCTGAAGTCTCTCTCCTGAAGTCTCTCTCCTGAAGTCTCTCTCCTGAAGTCTCTTTCCTGAAGTCTCTCTCCTGAAGTCTCTCTCCTGAAAAGTCTCTCCTGAAGTCTCTCTCCTGAAGTCTCTCTCCTGAAGTCTCTCTCCTGGAGTCTCTCTCCTGGAGTCTCTCTCCTGAAGTCTCTCTCTCCTGAAGTCTCTCTCCTGGAGTCTCTCTCCTGAACTCTCTCTCCTGAAGTCTCTCTCCTGAAGTCTCTCTCCTGAAGTCTCTTTCCTGAAGTCTCTCTCCTGGAGTCTCTCTCCTGAAGTCTCTCTCCTGAAGTCTCTCTCCTGGAGTCTCTCTCCTGAAGTCTCTCTCCTGAAGTCTCTCTCCTGAAGTCTCTCTCCTGAAGTCTCTTTCCTGAAGTCTCTCTCCTGAAGTCTCTCTCCTGAAGTCTCTCTCCTGAAGTCTCTCTCCTGGAGTCTCTCTCCTGAAGTCTCTCTCCTGAAGTCTCTCTCCTGAAGTCTCTCTCCTGGAGTCTCTCTCCTGAAGTCTCTCTCCTGAAGTCTCTCTCCTGAAGTCTCTCTCCTGAATTCTCTTTCCTGAAGTCTCTCTCCTGAAGTCTCTCTCCTGAAGTCTCTCTCCTGAAGTCTCTTTCCTGAAGTCTCTCTCCTGAAGTCTCTCTCCTGAAGTGTCTCTCCTGAAGTCTCTCTCCTGAAGTCTCTCTCCTGAAGTCTCTCTCCTGGAGTCTCTCTCCTGAACTCTCTCTCCTGAAGTCTCTCTCCTGAAGTCTCTCTCCTGAAGTCTCTTTCCTGAAGTCTCTCTCCTGGAGTCTCTCTCCTGAAGTCTCTCTCCTGAAGTCTCTCTCCTGGAGTCTCTCTCCTGAAGTCTCTCTCCTGAAGTCTCTCTCCTGAAGTCTCTCTCCTGAAGTCTCTTTCCTGAAGTCTCTCTCCTGAAGTCTCTCTCCTGAAGTCTCTCTCCTGAAGTCTCTCTCCTGGAGTCTCTCTCCTGAAGTCTCTCTCCTGAAGTCTCTCTCCTGAAGTCTCTCTCCTGGAGTCTCTCTCCTGAAGTCTCTCTCCTGAAGTCTCTCTCCTGAAGTCTCTCTCCTGAATTCTCTTTCCTGAAGTCTCTCTCCTGAAGTCTCTCTCCTGAAGTCTCTCTCCTGGAGTCTCTCTCCTGAAGTCTCTCTCCTGAAGTCTCTCTCCTGAAGTCTCTCTCCTGAAGTCTCTTTCCTGAAGTCTCTCTCCTGAAGTCTCTCTCCTGAAGTCTCTCTCCTGAAGTCTCTCTCCTGAAGTCTCTTTCCTGAAGTCTCTCTCCTGGAGTCTCTCTCCTGAAGTCTCTCTCCTGAAGTCTCTCTCCTGAAGTCTCTCTCCTGAAGTCTCTTTCCTGAAGTCTCTCTCCTGGAGTCTCTCTCCTGAAGTCTCTCTCCTGAAGTCTCTCTCCTGGAGTCTCTCTCCTGAAGTCTCTCTCCTGAAGTCTCTCTCCTGAAGTCTCTCTCCTGAAGTCTCTTTCCTGAAGTCTCTCTCCTGAAGTCTCTCTCCTGAAGTCTCTCTCCTGAAGTCTCTCTCCTGAAGTCTCTTTCCTGAAGTCTCTCTCCTGGAGTCTCTCTCCTGAAGTCTCTCTCCTGAAGTCTCTCTCCTGAAGTCTCTTTCCTGAAGTCTCTCTCCTGGAGTCTCTCTCCTGAAGTCTCTCTCCTGAAGTCTCTCTCCTGAAGTCTCTCTCCTGAAGTCTCTCTCCTGAAGTCTCTTTCCTGAAGTCTCTCTCCTGGAGTCTCTCTCCTGAAGTCTCTCTCCTGAAGTCTCTCTCCTGAAGTCTCTTTCCTGAAGTCTCTCTCCTGGAGTCTCTCTCCTGAAGTCTCTCTCCTGAAGTCTCTCTCCTGGAGTCTCTCTCCTGAAGTCTCTCTCCTGAAGTCTCTCTCCTGAAGTCTCTTTCCTGAAGTCTCTCTCCTGAAGTCTCTCTCCTGAAGTGTCTCTCCTGAAGTCTCTCTCCTGAAGTCTCTCTCCTGAAGTCTCTCTCCTGGAGTCTCTCTCCTGGAGTCTCTCTCCTGAAGTCTCTCTCCTGAAGTCTCTCTCCTGAAGTCTCTCTCCTGAAGTCTCTCTCCTGGAGTCTCTCTCCTGAACTCTCTCTCCTGAAGTCTCTCTCCTGAAGTCTCTCTCCTGAAGTCTCTTTCCTGAAGTCTCTCTCCTGGAGTCTCTCTCCTGAAGTCTCTCTCCTGAAGTCTCTCTCCTGGAGTCTCTCTCCTGAAGTCTCTCTCCTGAAGTCTCTCTCCTGAAGTCTCTCTCCTGAAGTCTCTTTCCTGAAGTCTCTCTCCTGAAGTCTCTCTCCTGAAGTCTCTCTCCTGAAGTCTCTCTCCTGAAGTCTCTTTCCTGAAGTCTCTCTCCTGGAGTCTCTTTCCTGAAGTCTCTCTCCTGAAGTCTCTTTCCTGAAGTCTCTCTCCTGGAGTCTCTCTCCTGAAGTCTCTCTCCTGAAGTCTCTCTCCTGAAGTCTCTCTCCTGAAGTCTCTCTCCTGGAGTCTCTCTCCTGAAGTCTCTCTCCTGAAGTCTCTCTCCTGAAGTCTCTCTCCTGAAGTCTCTTTCCTGAAGTCTCTCTCCTGGAGTCTCTCTCCTGGAGTCTCTCTCCTGAAGTCTCTCTCCTGAAGTCTCTCTCCTGAAGTCTCTCTCCTGAAGTCTCTCTCCTGGAGTCTCTCTCCTGGAGTCTCTCTCCTGAAGTCTCTCTCCTGAAGTCTCTCTCCTGAAGTCTCTCTCCTGAAGTCTCTCTCCTGAAGTCTCTCTCCTGGGGTCTCTCTCCTTATGCTCCTCGCACAGATGGCCTCACAATGCATAGTTTAGTGATGGCGCTCTGCTCCCACGCGCTCCTCGGTCCTCGGCTCTGGGGTGCCAGGTTGGGTGTGAGTGGGAGGGCCCCGCTGAGACTCTGGGGTGCCAGGTTGGGTGTGAGTGGGAGGGCCCCGCTGAGACTCTGGGGTGCCAGGTTGGGTGTGAGTGGGAGGGCCCCGCTGAGACTCTGGGGTGCCAGGTTGGGTGTGAGCTTTGAGACAAAGCAACAAAGTAAAAGGGATTTTAGAAACAAACCTGAAGCTTTTGGTGAAATAGTTTTAGTTCAATCTGGAGGAGGACCCAGAGGGAGGAGGAGGACCCAGAGGGAGGAGGAGGACCCAGAGGGAGGAGGAGGACCCAGAGGGAGGAGGAGGACCCAGAGGGAGGAGGAGGACCCAGAGGAAGGAGGAGGACCCAGAGGGAGGAGGACCCAGAGGGAGGAGGACCCAGAGGGAGGAGGAGGACCCAGAGGGAGGAGGAGGACCCAGAAGGAGGAGGACCCAGAGGGAGGAGGAGGACCCAGAGGGAGGAGGAGGACCCAGAGGGAGGAGGAGGACCCAGAGGGAGGAGGACCCAGAGGGAGGAGGACCCAGAGGGAGGAGGAGGACCCAGAGGGAGGAGGAGGACCCAGAGGGAGGAGGAGGACCCAGAGGGAGGAGGACCCAGAGGGAGGAGGAGGACCCAGAGGGAGGAGGAGGATCCAGAGGGAGGAGGAGGACCCAGAGGGAGGAGGAGGACCCAGAGGGAGGAGGAGGATCCAGAGGGAGGAGGAGGACCCAGAGGGAGGAGGAGGACCCAGAGGGAGGAGGAGGACCCAGAGGGAGGAGGAGGACCCAGAGGGAGGAGGAGGACCCAGAAGGAGGAGGACCCAGAGGGAGGAGGAGGACCCAGAGGGAGGAGGACCCAGAGGGAGGAGGAGGACCCAGAGGGAGGAGGAGGACCCAGAGGGAGGAGGACCCAGAGGGAGGAGGACCCAGAGGGAGGAGGAGGATCCAGAGGGAGGAGGAGGACCCAGAGGGAGGAGGAGGACCCAGAGGGAGGAGGAGGATCCAGAGGGAGGAGGAGGACCCAGAGGGAGGAGGAGGACCCAGAGGGAGGAGGAGGATCCAGAGGGAGGAGGAGGACCCAGAGGGAGGAGGAGGACCCAGAGGGAGGAGGAGGATCCAGAGGGAGGAGGAGGACCCAGAGGGAGGAGGACCCAGAGGGAGGAGGAGGACCCAGAGGGAGGAGGAGGATCCAGAGGGAGGAGGAGGACCCAGAGGGAGGAGGAGGACCCAGAGGGAGGAGGAGGACCCAGAGGGAGGAGGAGGACCCAGAGGGAGGAGGAGGACCCAGAGGGAGGAGGAGGATCCAGAGGGAGGAGGAGGACCCAGAGGGAGGAGGACCCAGAGGGAGGAGGAGGACCCAGAGGGAGGAGGAGGACCCAGAGCAGAGGCTGTGTAGCTCCGATCCAAGAGGAAGAGGAGGAGAGAGGAGGGAGAGAGGAAGAGAGAGGAGGAGTGTTAATGCTGGTTCAGCCAGGTGTGTCCTTAAACAGTCGCCCGATGAAAGAAAGGAAACTACAAACTTAGATAGATATAAAAGAAGGTTTAATATATAAAAGAGAATAGATGTAAAGACAGGCCGCAGCCTGGGTCTAACTGCACTGATGGAGAGGCAGAGCACAGAGACCTCGCTGATAGTCCAGCCTCAGTCTATACCAGAGGTAACAGGATATGAAGATTTCACACACATGTGACAATATGACCTATGAACTCTAGGTTTGAAAACAATCTTCTCTTCCAACAGAAGAAGTGTCTTCTTTCATGAGATCTCCTCACAGAGGTTTCTGTCTTCATGCTTCTTTATGTGTCTAGTCTTTCACTCTTGCCTGGGGCTGGGAGAATGCTGCATCCTGCCACCCTCCACATGAGTGGGTTAACTAGACCCTACTAATCTACACACATTTATTAATATCATAATACACATACACTTTATTAACAAGGAGAGAGGAGGAGAGAGGTTGCTCAGAGTCCCAGCAGGAGTCCAGTCCCTGTGCTCCTCAGAGTCCCAGCAGGAGTCCAGTGCCTGTGCTCCTCAGAGTCCCAGCAGGAGGCCAGTCCCTGTGCTCCTCAGAGTCCCAGCAGGAGGCCAGTCCCTGTGCTCCTCAGAGTCCCAGCAGGAGTCCAGTGCCTGTGCTCCTCAGAGTCCCAGCAGGAGGCCAGTCCCTGTGCTCCTCAGAGTCCCAGCAGGAGGCCAGTCCCTGTGCTCCTCAGAGTCCCAGCAGGAGGCCAGTCCCTGTGCTCCTCAGAGTCCCAGCAGGAGTCCAGTCCCTGTGCTCCTCAGAGTCCCAGCAGGAGGCCAGTCCCTGTGCTCCTCAGAGTCCCAGCAGGAGGCCAGTCCCTGTGCTCCTCAGAGTCCCAGCAGGAGGCCAGTCCCTGTGCTCCTCAGAGTCCCAGCAGGAGGCCAGTCCCTGTGCTCCTCAGAGTCCCAGCAGGAGTCCAGTCCCTGTGCTCCTCAGAGCCCCAGCAGGAGTCCAGTCCCTGTGCTCCTCAGAGTCCGAGCAAGAGGCCAGTCCCTGTGCTCCTCAGAGTCCCAGCAGGAGTCCAGTGCCTGTGCTCCTCAGAGTCCCAGCAGGAGGCCAGTCCCTGTGCTCCTCAGAGTCCCAGCAGGAGGCCAGTCCCTGTGCTCCTCAGAGTCCCAGCAGGAGGCCAGTCCCCGTGCTCCTCAGAGTCCCAGCAGGAGTCCAGTCCCTGTGCTCCTCAGAGCCCCAGCAGGAGTCCAGTCCCTGTGCTCCTCAGAGTCCGAGCAAGAGGCCAGTCCCTGTGCTCCTCAGAGTCCCAGCAGGAGGCCAGTCCCTGTGCTCCTCAGAGTCCGAGCAAGAGGCCAGTCCCTGTGCTCCTCAGAGTCCCAGCAGGAGGCCAGTCCCTGTGCTCCTCAGAGTCCCAGCAGGAGGCCAGTCCCTGTGCTCCTCAGAGTCCCAGCAGGAGGCCAGTCCCTGTGCTTCTCAGAGTCCCAGCAGGAGGCCAGTCCCTGTGCTCCTCAGAGTCCCAGCAGGAGGCCAGTCCCTGTGCTCCTCAGAGTCCCAGCAGGAGTCCAGTCCCTGTGCTCCTCAGAGTCCGAGCAGGAGTCCAGTCCCTGTGCTCCTCAGAGTCCCAGCAGGAGTCCAGTCCCTGTGCTCCTCAGAGTCCGAGCAGGAGTCCAGTCCCTGTGCTCCTCAGAGTCCCAGCAGGAGTCCAGTCCCTGTGCTCCTCAGAGTCCCAGCAGGAGTCCAGTCCCTGTGCTCCTCAGAGTCCCAGCAGGAGTCCAGTCCCTGTGCTCCTCAGAGTCCCAGCAGGAGGCCAGTCCCTGTGTTCCTCAAAGTCCCAGCAGGAGGCCAGTCCCTGTGCTCCTCAGAGTCCCAGCAGGAGGCCAGTCCCTGTGCTCCTCAGAGTCCCAGCAGGAGGCCAGTCCCCGTGCTCCTCAGAGTCCCAGCAGGAGTCCAGTCCCTGTGCTCCTCAGAGCCCCAGCAGGAGTCCAGTCCCTGTGCTCCTCAGAGTCCGAGCAAGAGGCCAGTCCCTGTGCTCCTCAGATTCCCAGCAGGAGGCCAGTCCCTGTGCTCCTCAGAGTCCCAGCAGGAGGCCAGTCCCTGTGCTCCTCAGAGTCCCAGCAGGAG